AACAAATTCTCTAACTTTTCTGCTCTTGTTGCTCAGACGTTCTTGAGTTCGTGCTGGGATTCTGCTTGGTGCGCGATCACGTCTAAAAGTACGATGACGCTTCTGAAGACGCTTTTTATCAAGTTGAAGAGTTGATAGTCCCAGTTGATTGCTCTTTTGGTATAACCTGATTCTCGATAAATTCACTCAAAATGTTCGCTCGTAAATTGATCTCTCATGAGGCTTGCAGACCGACCCGTTCCGAAAACGCTTAACGTCCTTTAGTGTTGGTCTACCGCGAACGGTATGTTCGTTTGTATGTGATTTCATCGCCCTAGATATCATGGAATCAGTGCTAACTCTTCGGTCACGACGACAACTTCTGTCAAATCCATGTGCTGTGCGAATGCACAGGTGACGCATGCGCTTTAGAGACCAGACGGCGATTTGTGACTGAACGAGGAAGAAAACAAAAACTAAAGAAAACGGAGCCGAAATTTAAACTCAGGCCTCACTGCCTGGGTAAAAAACTAGAAGCCCTAAGAGCGTTTACTCGGGCTTTGTACCGCAGTATCAAATCGTATTTTGCGAAAACGCGCATTGGACACAATGCAAACAAGAGAATCAGGATATTTTAGCACAAGAGTTCCACTTCGATGTTTACTATTCAAGTTGTTTCGTTGAGTATCCTCCTAATCCAATCGCAAGTAGTGAGTTTAAATCATTTTGGTTCAAGAATGAAGCATAGCTGTCTACGCATTTATGGAGAACTTGTTTGCAAAGAATTTTCCAGGTCTTTTTACAACTTATGGCGATTACATTTTACATCGCTAGCAGAAATTGTACGAAGTTCATTTACTGGTCGTGGCGATCCGAGTAAATTGTACAGCTGAACTTCTTTGCCGTGTCGCGATCTTAATATCTCCTTTAGAGAGCGAATAGATAAACTCCTTCGCGAAAACAACAGTCCTAGGACGAGCACTGGAAAAGTTGAAAATTTACATTGACATGTCAATTTTAATTTACAGTATGTAAATCTTGATTTACATTCTTTGTAAATTAAAATTTACATGTTAGGGTTTTGTAAAATAAAATTACAGGAAATTTACAGCTTTTAGTACAGCATGTAAATG